AAAACGGAGAATACAAATATTTTTTTTCGAATTTTAAAATTTTCTGAAAAAAATGGCCACCTTTGCAATTTTCTGATTTTTTTTCGATTTAAATCTTTGTAAAAGAATTTTTCAAACGCAGTTTCATGCCACAGTGTATAACAGAAAAAGAACCGAGTCCTCTGCAGTGGAATTCTGACAATCGCTACGCTAAATTTTCGTTGCCAAATTCCTCTAAAAAAATAAAATATATAAAATGTGCGATCAACAAAATCTGGCAGTGGATATGGTGAGCATTTGACTAGATGTTGCATGTCGGTAGGCGCGCCTGCTATTCTTTTAAAGATTTTTGGCGACCAAAATTGGCGATAGGGAATAGGGGATGTTGGAATCTGGCTGCTGGTTGGGATAGTGATTCCAAGACGAAAGAGAAACACATTAGAAAAAAAATTTAGTTATTCAGTTGGAAACCCGATTAGCGCCAAGTACCTGCAAAACTCTGTCTGCAGTTCTTCTCTAGAAGGATAGACAGACGGTAACGTCAATCCGCTTTAAGGTACAGTTGATCCGATCAAAATTATACACTGATAAAAGGCAGATTCGCTGATAAACCGAGCCGCCAGATCGTGTGAAAAATTTTGGTTAAATATTTGTTAGTTCATTCTTCTTCTTCTGCTTAACTGGCGCTTTAATCGCCAAAACGATATTAGCCTAGTCCAGGGATGGGCAGATTTTTGGCTCTAAAGGCTGTCAAAGAACAAGCAAGTGCTACGCAAGAGCTAAATCAGTTCTTATGGTAAAAGGGTGTACAAAATACATTAAAAGCACGACATAAGTATATTAGTAATGAAAGTCGGAAGAAATTTGAATACTCTTTTCTTCCCCCTTCATGCTGGCTCTTGATGATACCCCTCATCTACCACCTAAATATGCCAAGCAGCTCCTAAGTGTAAAAGGCTCATGGGAGCCACTTTGCCCATCTCTGGCCTAGTCCAACAAAGCACGCCAGTTTTTGCTTTTTGTGCCAACTGACAACAATTGGAAATGCCAAGTGAAGCCAAGTCCTTCTCCACCTGGTCTTTCCGAGGCAGAGGAAGCTTTGGTCTTCCTCTGTTGCCAGCATCGCGAATACTGTTAGAACTGGAGCGTTTAATTCTATTCGAACGACATGACCAAACCAGCGGAGCTGCTGTATTTTAATTCGCTTTACTATGTATGCTTATATCACTGCAAAGCTCATACAGCAGCGGTAGTCGCCATCGCTAACACGCAATCTTTCTCGCGAAAACTCCAAAAGCCACCCCATTACATATCTTCATTGTCCATGCTCCCGTGCCATGCACTAGCACGGGCATAACCAGTGACTTATAGAGGGTAATTTTGGTACGACGAGAGAGGACTTTACGTCTGAATTGCCTACCCAGTCTCTTCTCTATCAATCGTTACCAACTCTGACGGATCTGGTGGTATTTCTCAACGTTATTTTACACAGCCCTTATATTATGCATTGAAACCCAAGAGCACGCGTTACTACCGATCGCAGCATGGCACTGTAGGCGGCATCTTTTCTCTCTGGAGTCCGTTTAGTTCTTCGGCGGCGGTACGTACCTAATGAGTGGGAAATGTGGTTCCACTGTTCGCATAAGTCGCTTGGTTGAAGAGTTCTCTCAGAGAGCAGGTGCGCGGGTCGAGTGGTGATGACGCTGGTATTCGTTCCCTGTGTTGCGAAACGAACTTTTGTTTAGCCCTTGGAAGGCACTGGATCGAGCTTCCGTCTATCAAAAAATCAGCGATTTGGGTTTTTCGTTTTTCGATCTGGAGACAGACACTTAGCTTGATGGAATGCTTTATGCTACACCTTATTACTGCATATTACCATGTTCCGTGAAGGCGAAGTCGAACAGCGTCATAGCACTGCCAGATAGAGCCCGTTTTGTGCGTTTCGCTCAAGGATGAAAGTGACAGTTGAGTAAACTGCGTGTGTTTACACAGAGGACAAACGTTGGCCAACACTCAATAAAAATAAAACAAATAAAAATCTTAATATTTAACTTTTGAAAATTGCTTTGGCCGAGGATGAACTTGGGCGCTACGAAATTGTAGTACGCAGCTCTAAGCACTATAAGGGCCACAAAATGTATACTTATAGATAAGTATGTATGTGGAAAACCTACCAACTGCCTCGTTACCAAGTGCTCAGCTCAGCGCAAGGACACCTATAGCATAGACAGATGGCAGCATTTATGCACATCTATTCGTTTTTACTTTTTTTTTTGGCTATCAGGAGATTATGCTCAGCTAAGTTTTGTCGATGAACAGCGTCGAAGAACAGCGGCCATATTTCTGTAGATCAAGAACTCTACTTCGGGGAAAACAAACAGTAGAGGCCTAATTCTTTAGCTAAATTAGCCAGGAACTGTTTACAGAAGTGTAACTTTGTAAAGCATCCATACATTACCAAAAACATATAAATCACAGTTACAAACTTTATACAAAATTTGAGAAAATTCATCAAAATTTCAACTTTTTAATCTGAATCTTTAGAACATTTTTGGGTATGCAGTTTTATAGCCTATACAATTCTAGTCTGCTACTTTTTCGTTTTTTTTTTTATATAACAAGTGCAATTTACAAAAACTGGCGTTGATTCTTTGAAATTTTATTGCATGCGGTCTCCCAGGTTTTATTTCGTAAGAAATGCATGCTTATGTTGAAAAAAGTGCAAAAAACCTCACAAAAAAAATTGTCAAAAATCAACGCGATTTTTTAGCCGGTTGAAACTTGAACTTCATTAGACTAGCCTCTCTACACACTCCAAAACCAAAGGAGACCTGATGTCAAATGATGATAGGCCTTAAGAGCCGCCTGACTATCTCTCACAATTAGTATCCTCTCGCTTCGATAATTTCTTCGAATGCTAATCATAGCACACAGACTGATGGCATAGACCTCGGTTTGAACGAAGCTAGGAAAGGTTCCCAGGGGCACCGAAAGCTTCAGTATGGACCGTAAACTCCTGCTCCAATCCTCTCAGACGTTTAGGAGCCGTTAGTATATCACTGCATTGTGCTCGCCTGTATGTGACCTCCATAACAGAAGTACTCCACGTCGCCTTGATATAAGTAGAATTCCTGAAGTTTCTTTTGAAAACCACCACTTTTCTAATATCGTTCCTTTGAGAACAGAACTAGAGGGGGCTGGGAACCTAGCTTGTCCCTGTTGTTAGATGATTGCACGTTGCCTTTGCCGAAACCCTCTCTCGAAAAATTAAGGAGAGTTCATTTTACAGATTGTTCTATTGAAATATGCAGTGTCTCGAGTTCCAGCTTATCTCCAGTGGTGCCTTCGGGCATGTGCGCCTTGCCCCCGTAATGCAAACACACGCCAGCCGTTCAATCTTGGTGAGCGTGTGCCACATCGTGCCCAGAGTAGTCCTGGAAACCCAAACCACCGCACCAGAGCTGACTGTTAGTCGCACTATCAAATTATAAGTTTTTTGTTACCAAAATTAATTATAAATTAACGATTACTGTAATCGTTATCCAAGTCCGTTCGAACGAACTTAGACTACGATTACAGTAATCGTAATTTAAAAAAAGTTAAAATTACGATTACTGTAATCGTAATCTTAGTGCCTTCTATGAACGATTACCGCAATCCTAATTTAAACATTTTTGAAATTGCGATTAAAGTAATCGTAATCCTAGACGCAATCGATTACACATGTAATTCTTATCGCCCAGCTCTGGTATATCGTTATCTTAATATAGAAAGGTCCTAACTCCTATAGTCGCTTAAATGCAAAAAACTCCTAACTGACTAAAATTTTTTATTGCTTAAAATCATGTGGGGACTTATAATTCGATCAAATGAATCATAATTATAATCGATCAAAAAGGGAATTTGGGATATTTACTTAGTTACGGCTTTCAACGGCGAAGTGAGATAGGGCCTTTCTATATTAAGGCAACGATATATATTTACCATTTGAATTAGTAACAAAAACTCTATTAGCCCCTACATTCGGCTTGTGATAGGCTAGGCTGCCCTGAACCGCTTTTATTTTTGGTCTATATGCGTTCTTATTGGAAGCCTAAACATTTCGGTACCGAGTATCGAAAGTATTGAATACTTTTTAAATCGGTACCGAGTATCGATCAGTACTTAAAAGAATCGACTCAGCATAACACTAAGTTTCACCTGGGGTAATCTAATCTTGGAATCAATTTTTAACAGATTTCCCGATGCGCAAGACTTGAAATTTCAAACATAGCTCAGAAGCCGGTGATAATGCATTATGAAAGATAAATTAATCCGCTAGGTGGCGCAGGTGTCGGGATATTTGAAAATCCTGTATTCAAAGTCCGATATGGTTCATAAAACGCTTGTGCTTAAAATGCATTTTACTTACATGAAAGGGAATTACTCTGCAAAAATTTTGCCTGATAGGTGGCGCAAGCGTCGACGTATTTGTAAAATCCGTATTTATGGTCCGATTTGGTTTATATTTAGAACGTACATATATTACTTAAAAGGAAAGAGATAACTTCACAAAAAATTTGGCCGTTCGGTGGTACGGAGATCGATGTTTTGGTTTTTTACTAATCACTAATAAAAACTTGTGCCACAACTTTCTTTTTTTTAATGACTTGCTTTTAAATTTAATTTTTCGATTATTAGCTAAGAATTCAAATATCTACGATTGCGAAAATGGAAATCGATAAAATTGGATTGGAAATGGTAGCATTGCATTTCAAGCCATTTAAAGTATTACAATCATTTTTCATTAATTAATTACCTTAAATTTTAATATTTATTAAAAAAAATCATCGTGGTTGATTACAAAAATTCTTCAAAATTACCGATAAATTAAATTCCAATTTTAAAACTTCGCACTCCCAAAAATCAACTCAGCATTTTTAGACTCTAGTTCTCTCGCTTTCACATTTCTAGTACAAGCCATGAGACATATCATGCTATCTTTATCTATCCGCGCCAACGGAAATGGAAACAGTCATCGATCTATGCTTTGCCCGTTTCGTTCGATTGGCAAAGTGGAATAAAAATTGTTCAGTTTATTTCGTGCGTTTAACGTATTCGGTTGTGCTAGTTCGTGGTAAAAGTGATGAAATAGAAAAGTGTTTTGCCGTGTGTATGTGTATAAAGTGAAAAAATAGAAAATTTTATGAAGTGAAATTTGAAAAAAGGTATCAATTGAATATAAAACAAGCAAACGCCTTAAACATAATGCTTTTTGTAGCATATTCATAGCCTATTGAAAGGCGAAAATGAAATGAAAAGTGTTAAGTAGAAAAAATGTACAGCAGTTTATAAAATAAAAAAATCGGGAGCGCAACGCACTCAAACGCATACATATATATCTATAACCAAGTGAACACTTAACAAACATACAAACTCGTGTAAAGATGGAACTAAAAAATTTTCACAATCTTTCTATATGATTTATTGACCAAGAAGAGAAGCAGAAAAGAATAACGATATAAAATGTAGGAGCGGAATAGACACGACGAACTGAAGTGAATAAAGAAAAATAAATGCGACGGTGAATGAAAATTGCAAATACAGACATAATAATAAAATTATAAAAACAAAATAATATAAATAAGCAAAAAAGGCAGTGGTGCAACAACAGTTTGCAAAAGTGATGGTGGAGGTATGCACAATAATTCTATCGTAATAAGTTTTCGTATTTAATAAAAGGTGCTTGTGCGATGTTAAGAATATTTATGTACATACATACATAGTGGTAAAAGTAGCACGATGCAGAAAATGTATTCTATCATTCTTGTAAAGTATGTAGCATATTGACGAGGGGTTGTATACTCGCCAAACTACATACCTCCAAGATGCTTCAGTTGACGGCATTGAATCTCGTTATGGTTGATTCGAGTAAATTGTCCATTTTGCGCACTTTCATGCTCCCAGTGGTCGCCTTCGGGTGCCAGCAAAACCAATCGGCTCCGCTCCACTTATCTATATACATACATACTTATATGTATGTATGTACATTTGTGCATGCTAATATAAGTAAATATATTTATTCATTTAACTAGCGTGTCTTCGGCAAATAAATTCTGATTGCGCGCGTACTCCGATGCAAACGGATGCGCGCATTACGATTTCAACGAGTTAGCTGTAAGATGTAAAACTCCGCGCATTGTATGCTATATAGTGACTATATAGTAAATTTGCATAGACTTCCGCCGTGGTACTAGTATGTACAATACGAGTACACGTACGCCGTAATCAGGAACCATCAAAGAAAAAAAATGGGCGCATAGGAAAAAATTTCACTTATCGTTTTTCTACAACACAATACTTGTGACAGCAAACCCGTATTGACATTAGGGAAACGGAAAGGCATACTTATGATGGCACGCTTATCGCTAGTCATTTCCTTCGCGCACACATATAGTGCACTGCTCACAAGTATACTATAGCTACGCTGCTCTTTGTCGGTTTTTCTATTTCACTCGTTCGACGCGTAGAGAGCAGTATAGCTGGTGTGTATTGTTGCCGCTTTTGCTTTTCTGTCGCTCACTCCCGCTGCGTTGCGGCACAAAACAAAAAGGCGAAAGAATCTGACTAGGTTGGTACTGTTTGGTGCTATTGTATCCGCATTTTCAAAATCAAAACAATCCAAAACTTCCAAAATAGCTGCAGCGCTGCCAGCGGTGACAACAACGTCGGCGTGTACCATGCCGTAAAGCGGTTGTCGTCGGCGCTGGCGTCGAAGTCATCGAAAGTAGAATGGCGGTTCTTTCTAATCGCATTCTGTTTTGATTTCCGATTGTTTTATTTTGGTGTAGTGCACATAATTTTCGGGTGGGTGTAATAGAGGGACAAGGTGCATGACTTGTAGTTTATTGTGCGCGCCAAAGTTTTAGTTGTTACTTGTGTACATACATACATACATGTTTACATGCATAGGTCTTGCGAAATATAGTCCAGATTTGCCGATATATATAGATATGTATAAAATAAGCAATGTTACTGCATGGTTGATTAGCGCTTTGAAAGCGTCTCCAATTCATCGGTAAGTAGCGCGTAAAGCGTTAAAATTCAATTTGAAATGCTCGGAAAGATGTGCTGGCATACATTTTGCTGCACCTAAGTGAGGAGCCATTCAAGCGTAGCTACTTGACTTTAGCAACCGATGCACATTCATTCCATATACATATCTACATACATATATGCATACATACAGTATTGGACATATCTATAGCACCCCCCTTTCAAAGCGATATTGTTTGCCACTTATGTTTAATTATTTGTTTTTAAGAATTTTCAATTAAAATACAGTTCATTCTCCAACAAAACCCATATAAACTAATGTTTTAAACTTTTTAAAAGACCGCAAAAAGGGCAACAAACTTTGCCTTAAATTTCAAACTTTTTTCTCAGAAGCTCTAGAATTTTTTTGAGTACACAGTTTTATAGCGCATTCAATTTTGTGCAAGTTTCAAGTCGCTAAAGATTACCGTTGATTTTTTAGATTTTTTTTGTCTTATTTGCTTCCATATATGGACTAAACACAATTTATTTTTATATGGCAGAAAACCGCAACATACTCGGCGAAAAAAATTCTAAAAAATCAACGGTAATTTTTAGCCACTTGAAACTTGCACATTATTAGACTAAAATTGAATGGGCTATAAAACTGTGTATTCAAAAAAATTCTACCGCTTCTGAGAAAAAAGTTTGAAATTTGGGTGAAAATTTGTTGCATTTTTTTTTGCGGTCTTTTAAAAAGTTTTAAGCTTGAGTTTATGTGAGTTTTGTGAGAGAATGAACTGTATTTTAATTGAAAATTCTTAAAAATAAATAA